GATAATGAAAAAGAGATCATATTTCTCCTATCCGTGTTATGATCTGCCACCCTGGGGTTTTTGTTTCTGTTTAGTTTTTACTTGGGTCTTCAGTTAAGCTTGGATTTGTTATTCTGTTTTAACTGTTAAGAATGATATCACATTTTGAATGACTATATAGTTTTACTATTCCTGTTTGGTGATTTTTCAATTATCTCCTGCCCATTCCCCTAACCTCTAGTTTTATTATTGTTTTATTAATGTTCTTGGATTAGCAGCTGGTTTGTTATGAGTCATTTTAGGAGAGAGCAGGAAGTCATCATACTTTTTTGTGTAATGTTGTTTGGAAACAGGCTATTCTCTGCAAGGTCATCCTGTCAGGCTGAAAATCAGTTTCTTAGTTGAATCCCAATATTCTCAGTGATCTTAGTGGGTCCTTCATTATCTTTTGGTTTTGGAGCAACCAGCTTATTGCACCTGTTTCAACGTGAAATGGAAGACTTGTTTCTCTGAAGTCTTGGACAGTTTTTGTTGCTTAAATGTGGCTTTCTTGCTATAAGGGGTATTTTCAGACCTGTGTTAGATATTTTGTTCTGTAGCTTTGTTCCCAGTTTCCCAGCGGGGGGGCGTGGGAAATCCAACCCCCACCAAGGGAGAAGAAGAGATGGCCCCGGGGAAATCCCCCAGCCACCGCAATGCCGGAGCCCCCGGGAGCTGCAGAGACGAGTCTGTGGGCTCCGCCGACAGCCAGCCTGAAGTGGGTCAGGCCATGGGCTCCAGGGATCCGAGGCCCCAGGGGCGCCCCACCCCCCGACTAGAGCCCTGGCCAGGCCCTGGCGGGCCAGGCCCCGTGGAGCAGCCGCCAGGAAGAAGCCAGTGCCCACCCGGGCATCCACCCCCAAACACCGAGCACCACCAGTGCATCAGTAAGTCCAGGCGCCAGCCAGTGGAGGGGGAGCAGGATGGGGGGAATGGGCTCCACACTAACCCGTCTAGTTCCTGCTTCGGGCCCGGTCTCCGACCCCAGACCAGACAACCCCCAGCAAAACCCCCTCCGGGGACAGGGCCCACATGCCCCGCACAGGTCACCCAACCAGAGCCCCTTCCCCCCCCTAAATAATTCAGGCAGCCACTTCCTCCCTCTCAATTTAGTATTTGCCCTTCCCTCCACCCCCATTTGGGGAGAGCAGAAATGACAGCCCCGGCACCAGCAGGCCACCCAGGCCCCACAGCAGCCCACCGCCAAGGCCACAGACCAGGCGACTCGCTTTCCCTCCAGGCCACAGACTCCGGGTGGCAGCCGGAGAACAGGGGTGTGAGAAGACCCCGATTCTCCCTACGCCCGCTCAAATGTATTGTTGTTGCATGTTGCTCTCAGGTGTAATTAAAACTGGGAGTACCAAAAGGGGGTGCCTGGCACAGTCCAGGAGGTGTCAGCGCCCCCTCAATCGAAAACCCAGAACCCTCAATGTCTAAATGCGAGAGGGGGTGGGGGGAGCCAACTGAGGTGAGGCCCATGAAATAAGCCCCCATACCCCCCCCAGAACAATGACCTACATAGATGTGTGTTTTGAAAATGTTGCAGATGAAAGTGTCATGGTTTTGATTATATTGTGCTTTACTTTGCTCTATGTTTCCTAGTTTTATTGGTTTAATTCCTTTTTTGTTGTAATTTCTAGATTTGTTAGTTCTCATGTTTTTCTGTTGTCCTCTGTAGCCCTCTTGTGTGTGTGTGTTCCTTTCCCCTTGGCTCCCTCGTTGTCTCCTCTTACACCTGCTCCTTGTCAGCTATACTGTATATGCTTTCCCTCTGCTCTCACTCTCTGTTGGTTCCTTGTTGTTGCTGGTCCTGTCGTCGCCGTAGTCCTCTCACCTCATCTCTCCCTGGCTTCTTGTGCGTTTTTCCCTTGATGTCTCTGTGGTTCTGGTCTGAGTTACGTTTAAGTTGGATTTTTGGATTTTGCCTCTGTTAGTGTTTTTTTTCATTAAAAGTACTAGAATTCACCTCAGCCTCTCTGCCTCTGCATTTTGGGTCCTCTTAACTACAACCAAGACGTGTGTCTATAAATAAAAATTTAATTGGGGTGGCGGATGTCATCAGAAGGTGGGACCCTCCAGTAATGTCACCCCCCCCCCCCCATCCTGTCAATCCAAAGGAGAAAAAAAAAGGAGCAAACCGTGGCTGGCCACCGGTACATATCATGCAGAACCCCCACCCCGGACGAAGCCCACACCAGCGGCCGGCAGGACCGAGACAGGGAGCTAGGATTTCCTTTGAAAACTGCTCATTAATGCAGAAATCCATTACTCTCACCTCTCTGCCCCGACTCCTGACCTGCTCTTTTTGTTTATAATGTTCCAACTTAGCTACGATTGGTCTAGGACAGGTTTTATCAGGCTTCTTACCTCCGAGCCGGTGGATGCGATGAAAGGTGGTGTTTTTTACCTGGGGATTTTTAGCTTATTCTGGAGGAACTCACGGATTGTCACCTCGGGATCTTCCTCCTGCTGCTCCAGGATCCCTGCAAAGAAGAGGTTGTCTCTCATTCTCCGTGACTGAATGTCCAGAATGGATTCCGTAATCTTCTGATTTTCGCCGGGCAGCTGGATCTTCCCTCCGGTGAGTTTAGTGACTTCCCCCTTCAGCGCTTCGTTCTCTGCGGTAACGGAGGCTAGCTGCGCTTGGCTGTATTCCAGCGACTCTCTCAGGGCTTGAAAGTCCTTATGCAGGACTTCTACCAAGGCGAGGCGGGCGTCCAGGCTGGTTAGTTTTTTGTCAATGGATTCCAGGACGTTGCTGTAGCTCCTGTCTGCAGACAAAGTAGACGTAGAAGCAGCATTGGTTGAACTAGATCGACATCCTTTGGTAGAAGGTGTGTTTGTGGATGCGGGATTCCTAGGCTTCCCCATTACTATGATGTCAAAACACTCATCCAGGTAGCTCTCCAGGCTCATCAAGGTCTCATCTTTCAGTTCACAATTATTGGCTTGTACCTACCAGAGTGGATTTGTTCAAAACAAATCCACTCTAGTAGGTACAAGATCTGCCAGGCTTGCATTAAGGCTCATAGAACAGGAAACATGCCATTTTTAGCCCACCTAATGTTACACACCCTATTCAGAGACCTTAAGGACCAGCACCAAATACCCTATATAATCCTTCTATGACCCCTTTAAAATATTTCTAGTTAATTACTTGAAAATAAAACGTTAAAGTCATTGGCTTTTAAAAAAGGATGTTATCTGTGGAAAGCTGTATGGTATTGTAATCAGACAGTCCCCCTCCCATCTGCTACACAACACAAACTGTCAATTATAAAGTAGTTACTACCCCCCATTCCCCTGTATCTCAAGACGGAGGAAGAGGTTTAATCTGTTTTGAAAGTTGGATGAACTAAAAGTAACTTAATAAAGTTTTTATATCATTAACACTTTAGGGTTAGGCAGAGATGGGAAGTAACGAAGTACAAATACTTCGTTACTGTACTCAAGTAGATTTTTCTGATATTTTTACTTTACTTTACTACTTATTTTTATGGCGACTTTTTACTTCTACTCCTTACATTTTTACACAAATATCTGTACTTTCTACTCCTTACATTTTAAAAAATTGGCTCGTTACTTTAGTTTTGAATCATTTCAATGGAGTTACCGTTATTATTTTTCACGTCATCAATACCAAATTCAATCTAATTGGATGGGAATCTACGTTGCATTTGACGCACCACTACAAGATGAATCGACAGATTCGGCGGTATTCATTCGCGGCAAATCATTGCAGCTTGGTGGCGGTGGCGTTAGCATAGTAGCATGGACGACGAGATGATTGAAAATGAACACAACGGAGATCTAGTCCTATTGGCAGACATCCATTTAAAATGTAGGCAACGGCACGAAAAAAGTGGTTTCTACTTTTACTTTTATACTTTAAGTAAATTTACAAGCCTGTACTTTGTTACTTTTACTTGAGTAAAGATGTTTAATCAGTACTTCCACTTTTACCAGAGTATTTTTTAACACAAGTATCTGTACTTTTACTCAAGTACGGAAAGTGAGTACTTTTGCCATCTCCGGGGTTAGGTCGTTTTCTTTTTTTTTTCTTTTTTTTTTTTTTTTTACAAATGTATCCTGTTTTAATCAGAAAGTTTGACCCCCCCACCCAACTCAATCTACCGTCCTTTGATGCACAATAGAATTGTTGCTCCACTTTGTTTCATAAGCACCAGAAAGCCTTTCAAAAACAACCACAACCAGAGTTAGTGCTTTATTATTTATTTATTATTCGGTACTGTATCTTGTGCTTCTACATAGTTTTCAATTTGAAGGCTTTTGCAATATATATTCATATTAATATTTCATCATCATCATCATCATCATCATCATCATCATCATCATCAACTTAACTTATAAAGCTATTTAACCACAGCAAAAGCAGAAACAAAGTGCTGCACATAAAACAAAACAATGAAAAAAACAAAAATAAGTTATAATGGGTTAATAAACCTAAGCATACAACAATAATGATTGTAGAATAGAAACAATAAAATATGACAGAGCAATAGAACAATAAAACATCAAAGTAATAATAACAGAGACTAAAAGAAAAATTTAATATAGAAATATAATTTGAGTTTGGTAAAGGTTAATATGTAAAGATACATTTTTTGATGGGTTTTAGAAATTAAAAGCATATATTTTGTTACCACACAATTTTTGCAGAATGCAGGGTATAGGAAAAAGCATATTTATTTTTACTCATAAAAGCCTATAAATCAAAACCATAAAAAAAAAAAAAACATTTAAAAGGTTTGAAAGAAGTACGACAATTTTTCAAAAGTCAGTTCAAATGAAACCATTTGTGATCATACCACTTAGCCATTAATGTGCTGGGTTAGTTATACAGTAATGTTTAATTTGGATTGGAAACAGCTCTGTAGACTAAGAAATTACCATAAATACAATATTAAATTTTAAATAAAGCAATAGAAAAGTATTCAAAATTGGTTTAAATGACTCCAGCTACCAAGAGAGGCACTATGAGAGGAAAAAGATTCCAATTCTTTTATAAGTGCAAAGGACAAATAGAATTCCCATCTTACATTGCCATAACACCCTTAGAGACATGGAAAACATAGAGCAACAGCCAATAGAGCCAAGAACTGAGCGAAGCGACTCATGTTTTCATTGCTGCCAAAACTATTGTCACCAGAGTTGCAAGGCATCGATGTACAACAGGTAAAATTCAAGTCGGAGTCGATGCCTGAGGAGGTGAAGGTTACAAAGCCTAGTTCCCATCCATTTACAGTTTCATTGATCCATTTCTCATACTTTGACACTCGGGTGAAAACTCCAAGTTTCTGTGGAACGGCACAGTCATCCCTGAAACTCACCACTCCACCTTGCACCCACGTAAACCCATTGTACACTACCAGTGGTCCTCCTGCTTCTCTTCCCTGTGGAAGAAACATGAGTTTGTAAGTGACTGTAAGCTTATGTTTTAAATTCAGAAAATACATAATTCTCTCCTTCGGTTTTCTTTAAATTGTTTATAGTTTACAAGCTGTTATATTGATTTTATTTTAGCAAAATTTAATTTACATTATGCTTATGCCAAATCTGATTATAAAAGTTGCCCTCATGTCCTATGCATTTGGGCAACAGCTGTATACATATCCTGAAAAATTTACTTGTCTTTCACAGAGATACACAGGACAGCCGATCATGTATGAGGAGCACTCATTCCCAGAAGAAAATCAAAACCTCTTAAGCCCACAGGTCTATATTCCAAACAAAGCATACTTATACTTAATAGGGTATTTCTCAAATTGTACACTGCCTAAACTGCTTATCTTGTAATCAACTGACATAAAGGTCCTGGAGGATAAAGTGGAAGTCAAAATTTGAAAGTAACATATTCTTTATTAACTTGAGCTTTTCTAACTGTTTTCTATAGTAAAAGAGAGATTTGATATACTTCTACCTCTTCTAAATCCATATTGATGACCTTTAAACAACTCTTTACTCTTGAAATGACATCTATAAAACAATTTACGATTTTTTCCATCAAATTTCCAACATGGGATGTTAAAGCGGTAAGTTTATAACTTCCTGCAATACAGAGATCTTCCCCTGGTTTACAAATCTGTTTAGCAATTTCTTCCTTCCCTTCCTTCCCTTGAACAGGCATCGGTCCATTTTTTATTATACAACCTTAAAAAGACCACCTAGTTTTTTAACATACTGTTAGTTATTTCATCCTCTCCAAGTATAATATTTTCACATTTACTCAGTGCTTTGTTGAGCTTCAACATAGTAAATTAAATTTTAACCCGATATTCATAAGTACTTACATCTTCAAAACTACTTAAATTATGTCCAGTTGTCTTACTTCTGGCTCTCTTGAATTCTATAGTCAAATTTACCATGCTATCAATTCTGCTTTACTTTTACTGTACTGTTATCCACATGTCATTATTGAATATCCAAAATGTTTATTGATTCTCCTAATCACTCCCCAAATTTGGTCTACATGCATTTATTTCCCTAATAAATCACAATAACTTCTTCAACATTTCCTCTTTGCTTCTTTAATCTCTTTCCTCTCTATTGCCAATTTCGGCTTATACTCACAAATATTTTGAAAGCAAGGATTTCTTTAGAATACTTTAAACACTTTATTTCTATCCTCAATAGCTTTGGAATACTCTCCTAACCTCTAGGAACAATCTCCTCTTTGCTCTTTACTTTTCTCTTTTTGATTGTTTGTCTTGCTGCCTTCAAAATTGTATTACATAAAAAAAGATTAAAAACATTAACTTTATCATTAATATTAATATCCATTTCTTTATTACAAATATGACATAATCTGTCCCATTCTACCTCATTAAAACCTGATTTATTGATATCTTTACAAACTACATCAAGATTAAAAAACAATTTCACAATTTTCACGACTATAAGGCGCATATAAAGTCTTTTTTTCCCTGAAAATGTGCGGCGTGCCCTTTGGTGCGGTGCGCCCTATGTGTGTTGTTACTGCGGACTTTTGAGACCACCATGCACCATGCAGAACTCCTCATCTCCTCATTGAGGAGATGATGAAAGAGTGGCTGAGGGAGGTGAATGTAAGGAGACCAGGTGTTTTTTCCAATCATCACCATCGCTGTGTGCCCATCTCACAGCTGATGTGAAAAACATGGTGAAACAAATGAACGCTGTGCTTGCTTGTGAAGTCAAATGAGAAAAGAGGGGGAAAAAAAGAGTGCACTGTTTCACACGGACCTATAAGAGGGACGGACAATGGAAGAAGGAGCAGAGAAGAAAGCCAGACAAAGAGGACAAAAGTTTGGGACTCTTATGATTAGAGATCCTGTTGGACTTGTGCAGATCTGGATGAATTTGTAGACGGGTGGAGAGGCAGCCGGTAAGAAAAGCTGTAATTTATGAGATTGGACTGCAAAGTTACCTAAGTTCCTCCAGCCTGGCCTTCAGTTTGCCATTAACACCAATTAACAGCTACACCTGAACTCAGACCCCCACATACTGGCGGTGCGCCGACAGTAGGAATCCCTTCATCAGCAGCCTCTGGCCGGGTCGCCTCCTCGTGGTTCGCCGCGGCGGCTGGTAGGTGATTTTCATCTAAATAATCCAAACTGCAGGCAGCAGGATAATAAAAGCGAACATATTCTGCCGGCAGATTTCTGCATTTTAATTTAATTTATGCGTCAATAAACTGTTTAAGAGGAGTAATCATAGCGCTCTGATCATCAGCACTGTGTCTCTCTCCCTGCCAGCTCCCAGATCAGCTTCTCTGATTGGTTGACGCGGCGCGTCGAGCAGCAAAAATTCAATTTTTCCATCCCGAGCAGCAGCGCGTTTGCGGCGCGTCACGCGCGTCAGATGGTTAAACGCGAACGACACGCTGCTTCAGCTGCTCAGACGCTTGACTTTGCATGTAAACTCGCTGCTTCTGTCGCGCCAGCTGCGTCCGGTGTGAACGCAGCATTAACTGGTATATTCTAAACTGCAGGCAGCAGGATAATAAAAGTGAACATATTCTGCCGGCAGAATAATTTCACGAAAAGTGGAAGGCAGCACTGGCACTGAGCTTTCACAAAAGCCGGCATCATTTCCGAGGAGCCGCCCGGCACGGAAAGTGACTCTGACAGCGAAGAAGGGGAAATTGGCATGTCTGATTTAGCGCAGCTGTTTAATTCAGAAACAGAGGATGATGACTTTGATGGGTTCGATTAATACTTAGTAGTTTTAATATGTTTTTAAGAGAGAAGATCCACCTGAAAACTTAATCATTGCAGTCAGTTCATCCAGATTATCATCCTGCCTTCTAATATTAGTTCTGTCGGTGCCGCTCAGACCCCCACATACCAGCGGTGCACGACAATAGGAATGTCTCATGGCCAGCTCCCAGGCTTGATTATTACTTTGTAATAAATACATGAATAATGCACAATCATACTCAGTTTTGCTCCTGCTCTATTTTTAAATACGCAGTAGAGGTATTTAAACGTAGTAGAGGACATGTACCTGTATATAAAAAACGTGCCCTATAGTCCGGTGCGCCTTATGTGTGTGTTAAATACAGAAATGGCACTTGAGACTGCGCCTTTTAGTACGGTGCGCGTTATGGTCGTGAAAATACCGTAAATCTCTATAGGATAATGTTTGCTACCAATTTTGGTGTCTTTATCAACCTTTAAAAAACAAATAACATTTTGTATCCCATTCCTAACAAATATTGCATGTCTGTCCCTTTGTATATACTCATACTCTCTAATAATAACATCTAGAGAGGGTTTAAACCATGTTCCTTGAACACATACATCTAGCCCATTTGCTAACAGACTCCAGCCATTCCATTGAATGTCAATCAGGATAGCCTGTCAGTTTCTCCTATTTTTTTCTTATATTTTAGTTTGTTTTTAACTTGTTCACAAGTAATCATATCCACACACAGGAATCACTCTGCTCCCTTAACAATGATTCTTATTTAGTGAGTGCTATGTTTTGCTTGATCTTTACAGTCTATGACATGAGATAAAAACACTTTCAGATTATCCGTTTTGAGTTTGGTCCTTTCTTCAACAAGTTGCTGTTTCACCCCACCATTCTTGCCTGTTCTCTCTACTTGAACCCTTCTCACTGCCTCAGCATTTGAAATTTTATTTTCCGTTTTCACCCTCTAGATTTTCACAGCTTCTTTCCTGATATCAAAAACCTGTATATGTAACTGCACATTAGCCACCACAGACACACTACCGCAATATTACTGTATAACTGAGATTTGTAACACCTGAGAGAAGGTGGGACAAACTCTCTCAGCAGGAAGCTCAAACATCCCACCTTCAAAAATTATGTTTTTACGCTGAACATAAGCAGCTTATATTGTATTTAAATAACAACAAAGACATGATGAACCAACTAAAGATAAGAGATTGCAACAGTTCTGTTACTTAATACTAATCAGGTTTATATGCTAATTAATGTTGTCCATGGTTACCTCCTAAATAGAAAAAATAGAAATTGGAACACTGTATTAAATCAATATCTATTGTCAAATAAATACTTGAAAATTGGCAGGTTTTCTAGTGTTTAAAAACAATATTTTAATTTTACCCAAGATAACCATTAATTTTCCATCACACTTTATCCCAGCTGGGGTCGGAGGGTTGCTGGTGTCTATCTGTTGGGAGCTGGAGAAGTTCCACCTTTTCTCCAGCAGAGTCCGCCGTGGATCCTTCTGACTGAGCCTCCTGCACAGCTGCAGCCCATCAAGATCATCAGAGGATCCACTATATAAGCTGTCTTCAGACCTTGCCTCAACGCCGCAGTGTTGATCCAGTTGGTCAGCGCTTAAGCCTAGACTCTCAGTGTTATTTTGTGACTTTGAATCCAGCCTGGATTCTAACCATTGTCTCTGTCTTCCAGGAAACCAGTATCTCCTCTGTGAAGCTCAGGAAGAGCTAACCTGCCGAGCCGACCCTCAGAGCCAAACCCGAAGAACCATAGAGATCTTCCATGCAGCTCAGGACTAAGAGCTGGAAAACCCAAAGCCAAGGTCTGTTCATTAATAGACGTGAGACGCTGAAGCAGCAAGCGGACTCTGCTGATCAACTCCTCCCCAGATCCAACAGTGACTCTCCCAAGGCTAACCTCAAGAACCCTCAAGGTACAATCAGTAATCATCAAGAAATCAAGCTCCAACTTGCAACGCTAACTGAACTGTCTCTCACGCAGACTCCGGTGAACCAGTATCCAGGCCTGAGCCAGAACCAGTACATTCTGTGTGCTTGTAGCAAAATAAACTTGTTAAACTTTTATTCTTGTGTCCGTCAGTGGTGTTCTGCATACCTTGGTCGCTCTTTGAGAACCCATCATGACACTATCTCTAGCTGTCTACAGGTGAGAGGCCCAAAAATAAGCAAACGAATTTAATGCAATATAATCAAATTAAATTGATTGATTTTATTGATCACACAGAAGAAAAAAAGGTCCATGGGATGTATACAGTATATACAGTGCATCCACATATGACTGATTTTTTTCTGATTATAGCAGGGTTATTATACAGGGTTATTGCACAAGGTGTTTACATGGAAATTTATATGAATTGATATTTATATATATAGGTATTGCATTGGATGTCAAATATACTTTACTTTAGTAATCTTTTATTATGTTAAAATTAAATATATAATTTCCTTTCCATTAAGTACCTAAGTTAAATGTAACCATTTGACATAACTTAGTTAAGTAAATTCAACATGTAGCTTTAGATTGTATACGTGTAGTATTTAATCCTATATTAAACTGTTGTTGTTTAATAACTTCCACTGTGCTTTGTATTTGCATAACCTTTGTATTTATTCATTATAATTATAATGAATAATTATAATTTTTTTATGTTCCATTATTTATTTTATGTAATCAGTATGTAAAGTGTAGCACCTCATTACCAAAACATATGTCTGAAAGCACTACTAGGCAATAAAGCATTTCTGATTTTGATTCTAGTTGTTACAGTTTTGCTTAATTTCTGTTTTTTTGCAATGGTCTGGCGACCTGTCCAGAGTGTATCCCGCCTCTCGCCCGTAGATAGCTACAGCGACCCCATCTTCCATAAGCGTGACGGAAAATGGATGGATGGATGTCTGTTTCTCTAGTGCCAGTTGTTTTGCAGCAAATGGGGAGCCAGTAGATTAAGTTTATAAGAATGATTTTAGTATAATTATGATGGTTTTTAGTGATATTGTTTGTTTTCCATTATTTAATGTTTTTTTTCTTGTGTATCTGTGGGGTCTCTCCAGGTTCTCCCTAAATGGATGAAGTGGGTAAGATAAATGGATGTAGAGTACAGACTAGTGTTGCATCGAACGACAACGCCCCCCCACCCACCGAATACACACACACACACACACACACACACACACACACACACACACACACACACACACACACACACACACACACACACACACACACACACACACACTTAATTTTCATTGCCATGAAAATGAAGAAAACTCTTTAAATGAGAAGGGTGTCCAATCTTTTGGTCTGCACTGTATGGCCAGATGGATGAACAGAAAGATATTAGAAAGATATTACTTATTAGACTTGTCTTTCCATGACAAGGCATTATTCTACAATACATCCTACATAAATAAAAGCAAAACAAAGAAAAACAAAACAGGTGCATTGACACACAAATTTACAGTCACCTGACATGAGTTGTTTCCTCCCAGATCAAGGCCTACACAAATCCTGTTCTCGTTGATGTTGTCTTGATTATAGCAAGAGCACTTTTTGTTTCCCACAATTTGTACTTCAACCTCCTGCAGGATGTCATTACCTAAGTGAGACAATATTTCAGTTTTTTGGTGGGATTTTAGAAACAGGACTGTTAACTAAAATACGTTTTTTTGAACTTACCAAGGTCACCAAAACCAGTGACCAAGCTGGTAGTACCGTTATGAAAGGTGCTGTTCCCTGAGGCTAAGCAGACAGGCTGTATGTAGTCTGTAATTCTGACAGGAGATGACAGCTTCAGCAGGCACATGTCATTCTCCAAAGTAGTAGAATTATAGCCAGGATGGAAAATGTATTGGTCAATCCCCACAATCACTTCCCTAGCGTGATCTGATAAACCGTTGACACCCAGATGGACTTCAGCAAGGCGCAGTCTGATAACATGTACATAAAAAAAAAAAACAACAGTAAATACATTTTTACTTCAGCAGTCAGACATTGTGTGATCATACCTACAAAGTCAATTAATGCTGATTTTCTGTGTGAAGAAATTTTGATTTAGGTTTGAGAATTCTGAGGTGTAAGCATTGTCTGCATATGGGCATCACCAAACACTTTCAATTCTGTTAGGCAAGCTCACATTGTTAATTGAAAATTATATTGATCTTTTAAACTACATTCAATCTATAACTGACCATAATAAACTTACTAATAACTCAGTTACTTACTCTTTAAATGGATTGGTATTTTAAAAATCAAACTTGATCTTACAGCACTATAATTATTCACCTGTTAAAACAATAAAGTATGCCATGTCCTATAAAATAAGTTTTTTAGTTGTATCAAAAAATTAAATGCGTTATTGATCAATAGTTTTTCTCTCTTCACAGTTTCTGTGCGGAAAATTAACAAATTCTGGTTTTGTTTCATTCCAACCAAAATAATAAATAAAAAAATAAAATCATGCAATATGCCTGTGTTGGTGGATTGTAAATATAGGTATCTTGGTTTTAATTTTTTTGTTTCAATTAGGGATACAATTCTTAGTTTCATTGATAAAATTTACCACTTTAGTACACTCTGCTTGTCTCATTGCTTTTATTTTTTCCAGTCTCAAGCTGATTATTTAATCTCTATAAGAGCAGATTTTATTTGAGTCTTTCCACAATGACACATACAAGGCTTACGAGTGTGGTCTGGAAATGCATGCTCTTAGAACATACGCCGGCATGTCATCGCATTTAAAGAAAGAATGGGGGACTGGGGGGGTGCTGAGAGAGAGGATCGGTAGAGAAGCTGTGTTATTGGGAAGGGTCAGTGAGGCATGAGCTATGAATCAGTTTGATATGAGTTTTTTGTTTGATTTTTTTTGTCTTTTTTCTAATCGTATTTGAATTGTTCAAATGTGTGTAGGAAAGCAATACTGATTTTTAAACTAAACCCAACAATTACAGCAGTGAGACTTACAGTTATCATCATCTGCTTTTCTTTCTCAGATATTTTCACTCATAAATGAGTGAATTTGTGTTTAAAAAGGCACTTTGAAGTTGTATTGGTGTAAGACAACGGCGCAGCGACAGTGCTAGGGGCGACTGACCTTATACAGAGAAAAAGGAGAGACACATGACTTTGGGATCTAAAAAACACAATCTAAACAACACAAAAGATAAACAATTTCAATCTGATACATGATCATTCTAAATAAAATTATAAGGGGTCCTAGATAACTAATTAAGTAATACCTTCACAGTCTGCTCTTTAAATGATTTGTTCATCATAGTAAGCTCCAGTGACGGATCTAGGGGGTGGCTATTTGGGATACAGCTCCAGATGTTTCCCCCAGGGCCCCGGATCTCGCCTCTGACTGAGCTGAATAAAATGTGCAGTACCAGAATTCACCTTATATTGGCAGCACGCGCAGGAAAGCAAACTCTAGCCTTTCCACGCAGAAGAAGAACCACTAGCTGTTGCTAAACAGACTTATGTTCCAGGGGTGTGAAGCTCTGACAGACTTCGAGACGTTCTTTGTCCCGGTGTTGAAATTCTGTTCCCCTTGTGTCTGGAGCACGCATTGAAGCCAGAGAAGCGGACATGGAGGATGGGACCATTTTCTGCGCATCTGATCGATTTCTCGATAAAAACAACTCCTATAATCATGTCAAAGTTGTAACATCCAGTACAATCAGCAGCTGTTGTTTACAAAATTGTAAAATAAATAAATAAACAAGGCCCATTAAGCTGTTTTGTGTTGTTATTTTAAACGCCAAGAGAATCTGTCTTTTTCCAACTTTTGTCCCTTCAGCCTGACAGAAATAGTCAGTCACCAAACACAGTTTTCCAACTCGTATTAAGTATTTATAATTTTTCATTGCTGATATAAGAGGGTGGAAACTGCTGATAGCAGGACACAAAAATTAAGAGTTCCTGAAAAGATGAGAGTGCAGACTTTCTGGTAAATCCTGTTTTAATGTAAAATATGACAGATTACTGGATTAAGGACATTTCTTGTATACTACATGATATAACACATAACATTTTTTTTTTTAAATCTGGAAACAGTTGCTCTTTATTTCCCAAAGATATGGGAGTAGGCGAGGAGAGAATGGGTATTTTAGCTCTCTGAAATATCCTGTTCCCCCTCCATAACATAGGATTAAATTGATTCACCTGCAGGTCTTTAACTGTGTTTATTCCTGTCTTCATCAACAACAAACTCTATGGATTTGGTGACATTTGATCATTATTTGCCAGAGTTATGAGGGGGAAATAATATATTTATTTAGGCTAGTTTCCAACCTTAGGCAAGATAAATTCATAGTTGAGAATTTGAGTCTGAGTTTGTAAAACCTGCTTTGTGAAATGGATTCTGTGCTAATTGTCAAAGACATTAAAGACATGGTATTTAATAATACCCTTGAAACTGCACATTTTTTTCTCCAACTTTCAAATGCTTGGTTGTACTTATATAAAATATTTTCTATGGTGCAAAACTTCAGATTATGCCATCTTTTTTTGCATTTTTGAGGAGAGTGTTATTCAAATCTTTAAAGATCAGGCCGCTAGCCTTCTAAAAACCTGTCAAGGGTGGGAGAGTAGTCTCCAGCCACAGTCAGGATGGATGAGCAGCTTTCAGTTGGAATTATATCCACATTCTAGGTGGACTAATTAAGTACATTTACAGACTTCCTAAATTTTTTATCATTTTCATTGTTGTGTGCTTTGGGTTTTAGATTTGATATGAGATTGCTAGGTTAGATTGCTAACCAGGTCCAGGCTAACCAGGTCTTCCTAGAGAAGAGGGTCTCCAGTGTTTAATCTTCTGTAAGTAATTTTTACACAATTAAAGAGATGGAGAGTCACTCATGTTTAGTAACATTACTATTTTTGCATTACTCATTCCTATATTATAATTTCAGTTTGGATGGATGGATAAATGGATGGATGGAGGGACGGACAGACGGATGGAGGGACAGACAGATAAATATTGTGTCTGTAGACACAATTAGCTAGAACACCAGCTGTTCTTTTCTTTACTATCTGCTGCACTGAAAAAAAATTAATTTGTTCATCTGATCTCAAAAGTACGATGAACTTGTACTTCTGGATTTGTCATGGTTCTAGGTGCAAGGTTTTTATTTGATTTTATATCTCAACTGCATCTAGAAAACGAAAGGCCTCTCAAGATAGAATAATTTTAACAATGCTAACAATGCTACTATGAGTAAAATCCCACCTTTCTATACAGCGAGCAGCCGTCAGCACCCATTGGTCAGTGATCAGGGATCCTCCACAAAAGGATGATCTTCCTTGTACGCCAATTCCCTGTAATCTTGCTTGCCAAGGCCAATGCCTAGGGGTTGCATCCTGACCCTCAACAAATTGGGCTTTGGTAGGTTCATAATCACATTTTGACATGAAAAAAGAGACAGAATAAAAATGGAAAACTATAAAAGTGGTCACATCTAAACATATGATATAAAACCAAAGATAAGTGTCAGTTAATATAATGTAAAAACTAAAAAGGAACAAATACCACAATCATCTGTCGTATTTATCGTGCTTTTATCAGCAGTTTGATTTACCTTTCACCTACATTCATGTTAAATAAAGAAGCACAAACTCTATTGTTTTAGGGTTTTATATTGGTTAGAACATCTGCTCAGTACAGCACAGATAACAAAATCTCAATATTTAAACAAAATAAAACCAACATGCAAATTTCTTTTTCTAACAAGCTAAAAAATATAGTACTGTATTGTACTGTTCAAATGACTATATGGTTAGATCTTATTTATGCTCTGTTTCCATAATGAAATCTCTGATACAGTACAATACACAAAGTATTGTAAACTTACGTGGCTTCTGGGATATACAACCTGAAACACAGAAAAAATGTGTGCTTATTGATTTTAAATGAAATGCTGCCCAGTATTATTTAATATTTCTTTATATTTTAAGAATACAGAAAAATTTGATTTCAATACAGAGTCTAAGATTCATTATCAGCATTATACCCATAGCCTAAAGTTTTTCATTTCAATTTGATGGTTGATATGTTTTTATAGTGACAGCAAATATCTTAGGTATCTTTCAGCATTTTACTAGGTCATGCTTTAATTTAAAATACACAAAAACACTACGTAATTTACACTAGTGCCTGTGTTTATCCAAGCTGGAAATCTATCTTGCGGGTCCCCAATGAAGCACTAGTATCAGCTCACACAGTCTACTGGATCTTACCAATACAGCTCAAGCACATCATCTCGCCTACCAGCAGTCTATGGACAGAACCAACTTCATTTTTCTCCATCCCTGTTTTCATGCACCTGCTTATGCATAATAAAGTAAATTCTGCCCTAAGGTTTCCAGTCGAAGTCTGAGCGCCAAAATTTTAAAATTCATAGAGAACAATTTGATAGCAGTTTGTGATGTTAAGATCATGATTATAAGTTTCACATATGCTCTTATTGTGAAATAACAACAGCGAGACTTTGACAGGAAATGGGGTTGACAGGGGTAATGGCAGATGAGAAGCAAAGGCTCTGTGAGGCTGTTAAATTACTTAATATATAACAATCATTCCAGCAACTAAATAAGGTAAACATGGCCACTGTTATATTCAATACCAGGACAAGGATGACATGTGATCCAGTGACTTTATATCAGGAAACATACCAGAACTAATGTCTGTTGGGATGGCGATAGTTTTTCTCACGTCAATGGGGTGTCAGCTTGATGCAGCTGAAGCTCCTCATATTTGATGATGCGGTCAAGGGTGTAAACACAGTGCATCTGAAAGGCAGAGGGGTGAACTCCCCGTGGGGCTCGCGGAAATAAATGTGGACACCGTGTTCGGTCTGAACGCTCCATTAAGGGTTTTATTTTGTGAAGTATTTTGTGTTTTATTCTAAAAGTTGGAAATAGTAATTTCAAACTTTTTTTCTTTTTTCCCCATAATTTCTTTTCGTGGCAGGTCCTGACAAAAGGGCTCAAGAAGGAAGCATAAAACTGGAAAACAGTTTGTAGTGCACCCATTTCAGCAGAACTTCTGCTCTTTGATGTAACACAACCTGGAGTTTTCCCTCATTTCCCTGAGAAATGTTGTAGACATTTATAACACATAAGACAAATATTTAGAGATGCTTTCATTTACCGTTTGAGGTGCAGCCCCTAGAACCATTAGACACACGAAAAGCCCAGCGACCAGGTACATTAATGTTACTACTGAGGCCTAAAAGTGAGCTGTTTTGGGTTGTGTTAATAGAGAATGGTTCAAAGATGTTGAAGTGGTGACATGAATAGGATGCATCATATCCAGCCTTGAAATAACAGAAAAAGAAACATTTTAGTAATACTTCAGAAAATAGTGCTTGCTATGGTCAAGACGAGGCAAATAAAACATGCTGTATGAATTAGCTGAAATGCTCGAACCTGTATAGAGGATGATTTAGATGCAAGGCACCCATAATTCAGGATCAAAAATGAATCATTTCCATTTGAAGCCAAGACTGCCTGAAAGGTTGTTTGCTTTGAAAAAAAGGGATTTTTTAGAATGAGAATTTATTTGGTTCCCATCCAAATATGACATCAAACAGATTTCCTTACTGTTTCAGGCCTTGAAAAATAGGGAACTTTATGCCATGTTGCAATAAAGATCCAGCTGGCATCAAAGTTAAGTTCTGGGAAGTACAAGTTGATATCCTGGGTAACTTGCTGAAGAATACAGCCGTTGGTGTACTGAACATAGTAGATGTCACCACTTTCACGATTGTCTAAATCAGTCCAATAGGGAGCAATAATATCTCTGCCTCCATCAATTGGAAACTGTTCTGGTGAATAACTACTCCATGAGGCTTCAAAGGTCAGATGTCCATTGTGGTTCACCTGCCAGTTAAACAAAACTCAAATTAGATGTTGCTGTGTATTCATGTTTTTTGGCATTTGAATATTGTCTAAATAATTGCTAGAAAAAGCGACGTAACGTCTAAGAAATAATGTGAACTTACATAAATCTGAGAATAGGATTTTCCAAAATACTTGAAGGACTTTAGGAGTGTAATTTTTGGGGAGCTTCCATCATCACTTCGAGAGCTTTTATTTCCTCCAACTGGATAGAGGGGTCCTAAAAAGTACAACAAAGATTGCCAAGATGGTCTTTCTGTGGTTTTAAACACGATCAATATTCAATATTCAAGGTTGAAATATAGACTCACATATCATGCCATTGTAAAAAAGTTTTAAACCAAAAGGACACAATTGATTCTAAGGGACAAATGCATCGAGGATGATACGTTTCTAAAATCACATATTTCTTTATTAAAAAGCCGTAACAATGAAATTATCTGGTAATTAATATCTAAAGGCTTTTCATTTAAGGTATATTAAGATGTTTCGTTATTTTTAACCAGGAGTGGATGTGCTTTAGGAAAAGCAGGCCTATTTAACATTCAAATAATGGGTAATCTATTACCAATGTGTATTTAATGATCTGCTTAATAGTTACACATATTTCTAATCTACTACATAAATGTCTCTAACATTATCCTCTCTCTGCTTTTTCTCATAGTAGCTTCACCTCATCTAACTATGACACTATGCTGTGACTGTGCTGCTGCCATCAACACCTTTGTTTACAGATGTTGGAGCTCAGCCTGTTTTTTCAATGTAGTCCTGTTTCACTCACTGGGACTAACTGGATGTGCTCTCTTTCATCTTCTGACATGGGAGTTGGCTTAGAGCTTGTCTGCCTTGCTGTGTTCCCTGTACGTGGGCCGCCTTTTACAGTTGCCCTTTGTATCTCTGTTTCTGTCTGGTTCTGCTGGAGGTTTTTCCTGTTTAAAGGGAGTTTTTCCTCTCCACTGTCGCTACAAGCATGCTTAGTGTGAGGGATTGCATTCAAGTCAATGAGTCGATGCAATCAACTGGTTTTTCTTAGATAAAAAACTTTGTATGATCTGGTGAACTGTAAAGTGTCTTGAGATGACACGTGTTGTGAATTGGCGCTGTATAAATAAACTGAATTGAATTTAACTGAATTTCGTTTTCCCAAAAAGAAAAAGAGTGATATTATGTTTTTAAAGGCCGTAATGGTCCTACTGCTAAAGAAGTTTATTTTAAGCAGTAGTGTCAAGACATGTTCTGAACAGACTTTCTAAGTCATATCTGAAGGATCTTAATTTGTAGGGTATGTTAAGGTATTTTTAAAAAAAGAAAAGAAAGAAGGTATCGGTTAATTTTAGTGCAAGGATTTAACACATTCATATTGAGGAATCTATTTTCAATGCTTAAATCACATTGTATACTGTTATTAACATATTAGTTACACAATACGTATAAAAAGTGAAGCTTTAATTTGAATGAAATTTAGAAATTGTCTTTTAACTGACACAGTATTCAATTTTCAAAAACTGGTTGTATTTAAGCGATATTCTCTCCCCAAGCTGCATTTTTTCTTACCATGCAAGATGATTTTTCGCAAGATTTATGAATTCACAAACTCCTGAATATACAATTTGCCACAACCCAACAGATGCATCAGCCTCAATACAGAAATTTTTCTGACAAATGAAATGTAGTGACATGTATGACGCCAATGCATCAGCACGAGGCAGAAGGCTTAAGCAACACAAGGCTGTATGTGCCGGTTTTAGCTGGAATATCCTCTATTTCTTTTTGAAAAGTGAGAAAAAAACAACAAAAGATTTTTGTCTTTGTGGATGGGAAAGATGTTTAACTGTTCCCCCCAACAAATTTTGTTAGAGTTTGGTTTATTTCTTAACTCCACTAGTTGTGAAACAGATCAAGAATGTGATATGACACAGCTGTTAGAATTGTACTAAATGTCCCTCCTTTTTGGGAAGATTTCTACAAGAACCTTTCAACTTTGATACTATGTAAAATTCAAAATGAACTATACTTATCAATATGGCTTTGCCAGGTTAGCAATGATCTGCTGTGTAATACAAAAAAGGCTTTTATTAAAAAGAGTATTGTGGTCTAATTTTTTTTAACAATGTCATGTCTGGCAATGTGGCAATAAGAATAATTGTCTTGATGCCAAAAAGAGCCCAACAGATTTTGCTTTCACAAGCGAAGCAGTAGGGCTATTGCCATAGTGTTCGGCTTATTTCATGCATATCAATTGCTTTATTATAATTATGAGTTTTACAGATTATATGGACACTGATATGTTAGTAGAACAGAAGAGGAAAAAACTGAAAAAAAGAAGAAAAGATGAAAGAAAGAGGAGATAAAAGGGAGATAATGATAAAACATTTTCAGTCAGCTTTATCACCTGCAAAGAGATGTTAGAAGAACAGCACAACCAACAGACATTGCATGAGACATACAATAAAGTAACACCTAGATACTATCGCTGAGGGAGTATTATTAATCTGACATGTACTCTGTGTTACCTGAAGATAAGAATATAGGCTTTCTGTATGGAAGTGAATCTCTGAATACCTGGAACCAAGCACCTGTAATTGTTCACTTGAGTTCACTTGTGCATTTAAAGTTTATCCAAAGGAAAAATGCTCAATAGTGGTTGTGGAGACCTGAGCAGGCGCCCCCCTCAGAGCAGAGCCGGGAGAACCAAAGCCCCAGATGCCCAAAGGGAACCCAAGGGCGAAGGCACTAAGGAGGGGCCGGCCCAGGAAATCCGACCCCACCAAGGGAGGAGGAGAGACAGCCCCGAGGAAGTCCCCCAGCCACCGCAATGCTGGAGCCCCTCGGAGCCACAGGCAGGAGCCCCAGCTGGGGCAGGAGCCCCCCGCCAACACCACAGACCAGGCGGCTCGCTCTTTCTCCAGGCCCCAGACTCCGGCTGGCAGCCGGGGAACAGGGTTGTGAGAAGACCCCGATCCTCCCTGCGCCTGCTCAAATGCAGTGTTGTTGCACTCAGGTGTAATTAAAACTGGGAGTACCAAAAGGGGGTGTCCAGCACAGTCCGCCCCCGCTCAGGGATATAGGCGGTGGCACCGCCTATATCCCTGAGCATCTAAATATGAGAGGGGATGGGGGGCGCCGACCATGGTGAGGCCCATGAAATAAGCAACCCCCCGGGTGCAATTGACCCCCCCCAGACAATGCCCTACATAGATGTGTGTTGTAAAAATGTTGTAGATGGAAGTGTCTAAAATGCAAAATAATATTGAGGTGAGGGATGTCATCAGAAGGCGGGGCCCTCCAGTAACGACCCCCTCCCCAAAAACCTACATGTGTGGCAGTGTGATGGAGCAGGCAGATGGAGGATTCTGGGGATGGGGAGCAAATGACTAGGGTGCTTACTGCACTCCCAGGGGCATCCCCATTCCCCGAGAGCCCCACCGGAGAGGGGCGCCCCACCAATCGTAACACCATAGCCCAGGGGCCAGGGACCGGCGGCAGGGCCCACAAGCCAGTCGGCCACAGGGGAAACCGCCAGCCTGCACACACCAAGCAGAACGAATAGGACCAGGACCGAGAAAGGGAGCCAAAGTGGTCTGATTTTTAAAGCGTGGCATGGTTGACTTGATAGCACAAGGTAGAGTCCTGCAATGGGTCGGGGACCCGCGGGTACCCAACGGGTCACCCGCTAAAATGCGCTTTTGCGGGTGAAAAATACATAAATAAAAATAAACGGGTCGGGCGGATATTTTTTTAGTGTGGGCGGGTAGTTGGTGATTTTTTTTTTATGTGTGTGTGTTGTTATGGACATCAGAAATGTTATATTAATCAGGCACTGGGGTCACCCTGGTTGTAGCTTAAAGCCCTGCCGGCAGTGTGGGCTTCCCTCCAAAAAGGCCACAGTTAGTGCATACACGTCTGCTGCAGTGTTAATGGCACTGTTCTGCATCACAGCCTACTATAGCCTATTACTTGATGTGTTAATGGGTTGGGTTGCGGGTTAAATATCAACGGGTCGGGTCGGGTACAGATTTAATTTGAAGATATCCGCGGGTGACGGGTCGGGTTCGGTAGTCATCGTAACGGGTTCGGGCGGGTGCGGGTTGGTAAAACTCGACCCGTGCAGGACTCTAGCACAAGGTCAGACCCAGAAGTTATAACCATCCATCATGTTCTTTGAAGAGGCGACAGACATATAAAAAAACTAAATAATGTAGTAGTCCTGTATTTCAATAATCTGCCATGTCAAATATTATGTGTTTCTATAATTTTTATAGACTATTATATGTTATTATGAAAGTCTGTCATGTTTCGGTTTTAAATATATTATCTGACAAATTAGTGATATAGAATATAAAGGTTTTTTGGTATTCTGTGTCCTATTATGAAAGTCTGACATGGTCGTTTTTTTAAGTATAGGTTCAGACACAATAGGGTTCTGTGTGACTGAAGTTGACCTTATTTAATGGTCCTTCTTTTGTACCATGTGACACAGACATATTTCTCCGAATTCCCATAACACGTTTTAATCCTCATAAAGATGTATATTTAGTAATACTTTTTTCTTACCATTGTCGTCCATAAAACCATTATCCACACGGAAAGCCCAGCGACCAGGTAGATTGACATTACTTCTGGAGCTTAAAAGAGTTCTGTTTTGGATTGTGTTATCAGAGAATGATCCAATGATGGTGAAGTGGTGACAGAAAAGGTTTATGTTATTTCTAGCCTGGAAAGAAACAGATACATTAGGGAAAGGAAATAGCCATATGTCACAAAGTAGACACTGGTTAGGGGCAAAAAAAGTAAAATAAAAACATGTTGTATGAATTTAACTGAAAAGCTCTAACCTCTACAGAGACTGGTTTGGATGCTAGGGAACCATAATTCAGCATCACAAATGAGTACTCTGCATTGGAAGCCAAGACTGCCTGAAAAGCTGTTTGCTATAAAAAAAAAAAAAAAAAAAGAGTAATTGTTTGAATAACTATGTAGATTAAACAGTTTATTTTCATTCTAAATATAACTTTGAATATATTATCTGACACTGGAAAATATAGAACCTTTAGCCATGTTGCAACAAGGATCCAGTTGGCAAGAAAGTTTAGTTCTGGGAAGTACAAGTTGATGTCCTGGGAAACTTGTTGAAGAATAGAGCCTTGGGTATACTCAACAGAGTAGAATTTACCACTTTTACTTTTGTCTAAATCTGCCCAATAAGGAGCAATGGTATCTCTGCCTCCTTCAACTGGAAACTGTTCTGGTGAGTAACTACTCATTGGTGCTACAAAGGTCAGATATCCAATGCGGTTCACCTGCAAAAAACAAAACAAAAAAAACACTCATATTGTGTATTATTTTTTATTTAAATTTTTTTATGAATGTTTGAATATTTTCTTAAATAAAAAGAAAAGCAAATTAAGTCTCAGGAATACATACATAAATTTGAGAGTAAGATCTGTTAAAATAGTTAAACGTTGTATGGAGTAAAATTTGTGTGGCGTTTCCATCATCTTCTCGAGTTCGTCCATATTGGTAGAGGGGTCCTAAAATGTATAATAGAGATATTTAGGATACGTACATGGGTACTTTGGAAAAGTGAGGCTTTTATTTTGAAATAATTAGTGGACTGTGTTTTGAAAAGGCCAGAGTCAAATCTAAAAAAAAATGGTTGAGCTATGTTTCTAATTAGTTATGTACTACACTAATCTGCTGTGTCAAATATGCTGTGTTTTATTTTTTAGAGTATTATATCTTACGTCTTACATGGTTGTGTTTTAGATATATTGTTTGGAACTTTAGTGATAAAAAAAAACTTATTTCCAGTTATTAAATTGCACAGAATCACTATTATGAGTGTAATAGGTAAACAATTAATAAGGAAAGTGAAGCCTGATCAGAGCGTGTGCTCCTTTTGTGTGTGCACATGCTCTTTTCTCTGCTCCCTGCTTGCTTGCACTTTCTGGTCCTTTTATCTCCTTTTTATCTCTTAACTCTTCTTATCTCTTAACTCTCTTTAACTCTTAATCTCCTCCAAACTACAATTTTCTTTGCGAGAGCAGACAGCAAAGGAAAGGTGGAGGAGTGGCAACATTGTTTAATGATTCACTGAAGTGTAAAAAGGTGTTTGTGGGAAAATTTGACTCTTTTGAGCATCTGCCTCTCCAGGTAAAGAGCCCGGTACAAACAATGTTTCTAAATGTTTACAGGCCTCCTAAGTCCACATCAAACTTTTTTAATGATTTTAGTGACCTCCTGTCTGTGATATGCGTTGATTATGACTGTTTATTTATTATGGGAGACTTTAACTTTCATGTTTCCAACCCTGAAGACAGAAGTGCAAAGGAACAGTTTGACACACTTAGAAACTTTGGTTTAACTTAACATGTTAAACAACCAACGCACAAACAGGGACATATTGTAGACTTGATCATCACTAAAGGTCTGAAGATTTCTAAAGTCAGTGTTACTGATGTTTACCTATCTGATCACTTTTCTGTTACCTTTGAGTGCATAATTTCCAGTGACTCATTTAGCCAAAGGGACATCATAAGAAAACCCACCTTTAAGGAAAATGCCACAGAAACCTTCACTCAAGCTTATTCTGCTACTTAAACCTTGGGCTGCAACTCAATAGATGAGCTAGTAGATAACTTTCAGTCTAAAGTCTCAGACATCATTAGCTGCATTGGTCCAATTAAAGTGAAAGTCTTTTCCGGAAAGAAAAAATCTCCTTGGAGAAGTGCTCCAGCAGTTAGAAGTAAAAAAAGGTAGTGTCGAAAAGCTGAACGCAGTGGAGAAAGACGAAACTCCTGGTTCACTATGACATCTATAAAGAGAGACTTTACAAATATAACTTACAACTGAAAAATGCAGGAGAATGATTTCTTCTCTGAAATCATTAACAAGAACATTAATTATACACGTGCGTTATTTGCCACAGTTGACAAGTTAACAAATCCTCCTGTGTCCGTGGCTCCTGAACTCCACTCCACCAGGGCCTGCAATGAACTTGCAAATTTCTTTACTGAGAAAATCCTAAAGATCAGAGGATCAGTTTGTACATCTATATCAAGTTCAGTACCAAAGTTGTCTCCAACTGGAATTGATCTCGACCAAATGTCCCAATTCAGCCAAATAAAATACAAAAGCTTAGAGGAAATCATTCAGCAGCTAAGTTCATCCTCTTGCTGCCTTGATGTTCTACCCACAGCTTTCTTTAAAAAAGTTTTGCCTGATTTGACTCAGATAACAAACACGTCCCTTCTGTCAGGTGTTTTCCCGCAGTCCCTAAGAACAGCAAATATCAAACCACTCCTGAAAAAGAACAATTTAGACAAACTACTGCCCCAGAACTACAGGCCCATCTCAAACCTCCCCTTTATAAGTAAGATTATAGAAAAAGCAGTGTTTCAACAATTAAACACTTTCTTAAGTATGACCAGCCGCTTTGACATTTTCCAGTCAGGTTTCCGTGCTCACCACAGTACAGAGACCGCCCTTATCAAGGTGTTTAATGACATCCGTATAAATACAGACTGCGGAAGAACCACAGTGCTGGTACTATTGGACCTCAGTGCAGCATTCGATACTGTAGATCACTCCATCCTGTTAGAGCGCCTGGAAAACTGGGTCAGCCTCTCTGGTACAGCTCTCAACTGGTTTAAATCCTACTTAAACGACAGGGACTTTTTTGTATCAGTAGGCAACTTTACATCAGAGATGACAAAAATCACATGTGGGGTTCCCCAAGGGTCCATCCTGGGTCCCCTCCTATTCAATATCTACATGCTCCCTCTTGCTCAGTTAATAAAAAACAACATCAGCTACCATAACTATGCGGACGACACACAGCTTTACATCACCATGTCACCAGGTGACTATGAACCAATTCAAGCACTGAGTAAATGCTTAGAAGAAATCAATGCCTGCATGTGCCATCATTTTTTTCAACTGAATTAAAACAAAACTGAAATAATAATCTTTGGACCAATAGAGGAGAGATCTACAGTTAGCACACAGCTTCAGTCGCTTCAGCTAGTAACCACTGACCAGGCCCGAAATCTAGGTGTAGTGCTGGATTCAGGCTTGAACCTCCAAAAGCATTTAAAGACAATTACAAGGTCGGCCTTCTATCACCTGAAGAACATTTCCAGGATTAAAGGACTAATGTCTCAGCATGATCTGGAAAAACTAAATCATGCTTTTATTTTTAGTCGAATTGATTACTGCAACGGTGTTTTCACAAGTCTGCCAGAACGCTGCTGCCCATGTCCTCACTAAGACTAAGAAAGTAGAGCACATCACCCTAGTTCTAAAGTCCTTACACTGGCTCCCTGTATCTCAGAGAATAGACTTTAAAATACTTCTGTTAGTCTATAAATCTCTGAATGGCTTAGCACCTAAATACATCACAGACTTGCTATCAGTGTATCAACCCTCCAGACCACTCAGGTCTATTGGCTCCAGCCTACTCTGCATACCTAGAACAAGAACTAAATGGAGAAGCAGCATTTAGTTCCTATGCTCCACTTATCTGGAACAAACTTCCAGAAAACTGTAAAAGTGCGGAAAGCCTGAGTTCCTTTAAATCAAGACTAAAAACACATTTGTTTAGGATTGCCTTCGACTGTTCTAGTTAAGCAGTTCAACTGAAAGATTGTTAGTTCAACTATTTTATTTTCTTTAGTCCAACTGTTTTTAATAATCTTTTTTGTTTCTGCATTTTTTGCTGTTACACTGTGTCAAGATCAGGGATCTTGTGGCTGTCATATTGTGTCAGGATCAGGGATCTTGTGGCTGTCAATATCAGGGATCTTGTGGGTGTCATATTGTGTCAAGATCAGGGATTTTGTGGGTATCATATTGTGTCAAGGTCAGGGATCTTGTGGGTATCGTATTGTGTCAAGACCAGGGATCTTGTGGGGGCCATATTGTGTCAAGGTCAGGGATCTTGTGTCAGGATCAGGGATCTTGTGGGTATCATATTGTGTCAAGATTAGGGATCTTGTGGGTACCATATTGTGTCAAGGTCAGGGATCTTGTGGTGTCAGGATCAGGGATCTTGTGGGTATCATATTGTGTCAAGGTCAGGGATCTTGTGGTGTCAGGATCAGGGATCTTGTGGGTATCATATTGTGTCAAGGTCAGGGATCTTGTGGTTTGAAAAAATGTTGTGTTTGAAATAAATAGGTCCTAGGACCTATAAAGTCAACAGGGTTGACAGAAGTTGGTAAAGACATCATTGTTGGAGTCTGCATTTTTTATTATTATTTTTTTAATCTATTTTCTTATTTCATTCCTACTTGCTTTGATTATGTTATATTTTCCTATATTTTAATCATGTAAAGCACTATTGTATTGTCTTTGTACTTAATTGTGCTATAAAAATAAATTTGCCTTGCCTCTATTTCAGTGAGTTGTGTTTTAAAGGCCATGGGGGTCAGTTTTCCAAAATCTTTGAAATTCTGATCATATTTTTTTATTCTTTAGTGTAATATGTTTTGTCAGAATATAAAGTTTTTTTTGTTGAAGTATTCTGTTATTAATTCTGAAGGTCTAACATGGCTATGTCTTCAGTATAGGTTCAGACCAACTATTTATTATTATGCTATGACAGAATAGTAATAAAAGAATCCTTTTTGAGCCTTAATAAAAGGCTCAAAAATGAAGAATAAACCTAGCAACTGTAAAGCATTAATTGCATCCTTTCAATTGTCCTTGTTCTCTAGAGTTTGTATAGAGTCTTCCCTTATTCCCCTAATACATATTGTAATTCTTTTAAGGTTGTATGTTGAGTTATGACTTCTTCTTACCACTGCAGTACCATGAACCATTATCTACACGGAAAGCCCAGCGACCATTTACATTGACGTTACTACTTCTGTTTGGGAGTTTTTTCTTAGAAAATGATCCAAAGATGGTAAAGTGGTGACAGGAATCAGTTGTGTCATATCCAGCCTGGAAAAAACCGATTATTTAAAACAAAAAAAGGGCCAGTCATACTTAAGAAAATAGACTCAAGCTGGAGCCAAGATCAGGCGAATAAAAATGTTTGTATGCATTAAACTGAAATCCTCCGACCTCCATAAGGAACTGTGCCGATGCAATACACCCATAATTCAGCAACACAAATGAGTAATTCCCATTGGAAGCCAAGACTGCCTGGAAGGTTGTTTGCTGTGGAAAAAGGGTCATTTTTTTAGAACCGTTATGCAGGTTAAACATAGTGTATATATTTTAATTCCAAAAATCACATATCAAAGAGATTTCCTTACTGTTTCAGGCATTGAATAATATGGAACTTTATGCCATGTTGCAATAAAGATCCAGCTGGCATTGAAGTTAAGTTCTGGGAAGTACAAGTTGATGTCCTGGGTAACTTGTTGGAGAATAGAGCCGTTGGTATACTGAACATAGTAGATGTTACCACTTGCACGATTGTCTAAATAAGTCCAGTAAGGAGCTATGATATCTCTGCCTCCATACATAGGAAACTGCTTTGGTGAATGACTACTCCATGGGTGGTCAAAGGTCAGATGTCCATTGTGATTCACCTAAAAATAAAAAAACTCAAATTAGATGTTTTTTTTTTATTCTAGTGAATGTTTGAATATTGTTTAAAAAAGTGCTAGAAAAAATGACTTAAATTGTAACAAATAATGTGAACATACATAAATCTGAGGATAAGATCTTCCAAAATAGTTAAAGGTTTGGAGGAGTTTAATTCCTGGGGAGCTTCCATTAAGATTTCGAGGGCTTGTTGTTCCTCCAATTGGGTACAGGGGTCCTAAAAAGCACAACAGAGATCACCAAGATTGTCTTCCGGAGTTCTTAAACAGCATCTAGTCTTCAGTGTTTAAAGTTGGAACATGCCACCAGGCGCTACATTTCTATAGGAAATATTTCATTAAATGTAAACAGGGCTGTCAACTCTCACCCATTGGGCATGAGACTCATGTCTCTTCATGTGCTCTCACTGCCTATCTCCAATATTTCATGCTAAAAAAATGACGGGCGTTAAAATTCAACTCCTTTTTCACTTATTTATATATAGAAATACCATGCTTATAAAAATCTAGTCAGTGATTTCAACACAACCTTAATGCTAAAAAACAATGACATGCCAGGTTCATACCCAGCCGGCATTTTTGCACCAGCCTCCCTATTCAATGTGCCAGATATGAATAGAATAAACAGCAATTATCTTTAAATATAGATGTGGAGACTGTAAGATCACATCAAATTGACATCAAATGGTTTGTTTTCTCTATACCTAGTGTTTTTTTTTTTTTTGCTTTACTCCTAGTTTGCTTTAGTTTTTACACCTGATTTACTGCCAGTTTTTTGCTCAGTTTTTGCTCACAAGTTAAATAATTATTGCTCTATTTGAATAATCCCCCGTTGGAATTGAGGACTAATTAAACCAACACAAATATCTTAATTCTTAAAGCTTTTCAGGTATGCCTCACAAACCCATAGGAGATCCACAAAAAGAAAAAGAACCATTGCTTTTTTTTTCTAAAAAGATCAGACAGCAAAGAAAAGACCAACCACAAGACACAGAGAGGATGTACAGAACAACTTAGTTATCCAGGATTAGTTTTATTACTCTTATTTATCCTTATTTTGTTCCATTGAATACTTTAAAAACCTAATTTCCATCATATTCCCCATAATTAAACATCCAGAGAAGTGCCGTCTTGTGTCATGGTAAATTTATATAGAATCTACAGCCTCCTAGAAGATCTTAATTGTTTAGCTGTTTTGTCAATTGTAAAAAAAAATAAAAAAAATACCGTAGTGAGTTAAGGCTTTAAATCCTTAGCCTATTACAAAATATTCAGTGTAGTTTGCATGGGATTCGATTGCACTGGTTCCTGTATTAGTACCAGTAAACTAGTAACTTATTAGTTCTACATTTTATTTACTTGAACTGCAGAGAACAAACAGTTGTGAAATTCTTAGTTTACAGTATATTTAAGATACAAGTATTTTAGTAGGACCCATTGTTCTTTACTTCAATTCTCTTAAAACCACCATAATATAGAAAATAATGTATATGTTGGGATCCAGAGGCTTGCCCTCCAGAGGGCGCCGAGAATCCCCTCCTGTTGTATGTTATTCTGTTGGGACTTGGGTTACTGTTGGGATCTGGAGATCTGCCACCTGTCTCCAGCAGAGAGCACTGTGGGTCTCCTGGGCTGGGGCCTCCAGCACACCTGAGGATCATCAGCCCATCAGGGCACCTCCTACATAAGCAGCAGCCAGACCTGTCTTCCTCGCCGGAGTGTTGACCAGTTTTGGTTAGCGGAACCTGAGCCTCTGTTAACGTTTAGAATCTCTGTCTGCTCTAGAGAGTAACCAGATTCTAACCAGCCTCTGTCTTCTTTGCTCACAGGAAAGTCCGACTGAAGTCTTTAGCTCTGGAGGAGCTAGCTTGGAAACCTGCCTGCCTGCCCTAGGAAGCCAAACCTGAAGACAATCAGTCTGGATTCCCCAGCCAGCTCTCATGGGAGAGCTAGGACATCAATTCAAGGTCTGAAACTCTCTAGTCTGAAGCTAGACGCTGCTGCTGCTGCTGAGCTCTCTGCTGAACCCACTGTCTCTGGACCCAATTGGTTCCCCCTCTCCAGTGATCTGTCTGAACCTCATCAAGATTCTCAGTGATTGCTGTCCCGGACCTGTACCTGAACCAGCTCTTGTAATTCTGTGTGCTCAACCTTTAATAAACTGTTAAACTTTTACCCCGTTTCTGTGGTGTTCTGCATGTGGGTTTATACACTAGAGACCCATCATGACAGTATATTGTGTGAAAAAATTTTACACATGACTAGAGGTCACTTGTTGTTATTCATATGGAATAAATGGATTTGTTCATAAATGGCTCATCTGGCTGGAACAACTTTGTAGAGCAAGGAGATCTTTGGGTACAACTTTAGCCACTCGGCGCACCATAACTAAGCAGCAATGGATCAACGCTTTAATAGTGCAGTATTAAACTGGCTAATATAATAGGCTTAATATTTGCATAGTTACTGTTGAAAACTGACATTTATATTTAGAGTATTGTGTATCGAAAAGGTCAAAGTGAGATTTAATAAAAAAAAAAAACTGCTAATTTCTGTTTATAATGTTTAGTCCTGTATTGCTATAATCAGCTTTGTCAAATATGATGTTTAATTTTGTAGAGCATTTTTAGGATTCATTTATATTGATATGTGTTTCCTTTAAACCCTAATAATACCTGCCTGTCATTTGTCAGGGAGAATCGGGGAGATGAAGCTAAAAGGTGTAAACACAGGCTTTCCTTTACAAATGATATTTCTTGCCCTTCTCTGATCTGGTATCGCTCGTGGGTCGCTACTCATAGACCAACCCCACAGCTGGAGCCACACAGAGGTGAGGCGATTCCTTCTTAAAAAATATATCCAGTGCTTTTTCAGGGGTTGCTTTTTGAGTTTGGAGGGCTTTGGCATCTCAGTTTGTCAGTAAGTATGCCAAAAAAAATATATAGTTTTTTTTTAGCACTGAATCTAAAGAGGTACAATTTCAACTTCTTAGAAAATATATTTTCCCACCTTGGGCATGGAAACCCATTTAGGGTACTGGTGGCCTAGTAGTAAGGGCATAGAGCTTGGAATCCTGAGGTTCTGAATTCGAGCCCCACTCCCACAGACTGCCACTCTGGGTCTCTGAGCTAGCCCCTAACCCCTGATTGCTCCCCAGGTAAAAGCACTTATTGTAAGTTGACTTAATCTGATTCTAAGTCAACATGTTTTGACAGTCAAATAGAAGGTGGTTACTCATTGTACTAGCTGAAAATGCACTTTAACATAAACATTATATAATAATTTAATGTTTTCTACTTGTCTGTAACAAACATACTGTTTGTTTAAAAAAACATATTAGACTAAAGGTGTAGGAAGTAAAAAAGTTGACTGTAACAGGGTTGGATAAATGATAACAGTTAATCAAGTTAGAATTGACTTTATTTCTTCACACAAACAAATGTCAAGTAAACAAAAAAGTACTAACGTTATATTTAAGAATTGGGTTTAAATAGCATAGATTAAAAAAATGTGTTTGATTAATTTAAATGTCTTGGGACTTAATCAAGGCTGGACTAGGGCAAACCTTTGGCCTTTTGAGTAGAGACAGACCCACCTTCTATTGATGAAAAGAGAGTAAACCCTATGAATGGAAACAACACTTTCTTTTGACATTCAACCTGCTGCTTTTAGTGTTTGTGATTAATATACTCAGGGTCGTGTGGAGCTGGTTTACACTTGCTTTTTTGTACCCCTGCTTCTTTTTATATGTCTCCCTCTGAGACATATGAGAAAATATGTAATTCAGTAACAGTTACTACCGAAAATATTAAGAATTACAAATATAGTTACATTTTTTTTTTTTAGTTACATTTTTTAAAAAATATAAAGAAAAACCTTTGCGAAATATGTAATGATATTTTTATTGCTCTGCGCCCTGTATCGCCGTTTCCTGCTACGGCTCCTTGTCTCTATCATATTTGCCACTCTGATGATCCATCCTGTGCTGGTGGAGCCTCCTTGAGGAACAGCAAGCGTGCAGACGGTTCTATTTCAGCTCAAGTAGCGCATCAAACAGTGATGGGCAGTAGCGCCGCTTCATGTAGCGAAGCTATTAGTTTAACTACATTTTCCAGTAGCTTGACCGTAGCGTCGCTGCTTTATTTATCAAGTAACTTTCCTGTAGTGACGTTATTGCTTTGATCAAGTAGCGAAGTAGCGTCCACAAACGCTACAAAATCCAGGGCATAACTAAGAAATGAAACCAGGTTTTCTATTTTGAAACAACAGAGTTATTCATTGGACATTCACGCATGAGCCTCTATTCTGCCTCTTCTGTGTGTATCTACCAAAACACGTGCATGCGCACGGCAGTGGAACTCAAAGAATGACACACATAGACACACGCACACACACAGAGCCACACACACAGGATGGAGGAGGAGACAGGAGCAGAGCCAGAAGAGCACCCAACTGTCCCTACCACACCATGGCCTTATCTTCAGAGATTATGAAACTTGTTGAATCCTCAGATAAAAAAAATAAGTGTACAGATGTCTGCTTTGCAATAAAAAAACAAACAAAAAAACTGTTGTCAACGTCCAGGACATCCAACACCAACCTGAGAACTCACATTCAGGTGAATCACTAATTTCCCTCCTGCAGTATGCAAGTAAAAATAGCATCTGTAAATCCCAACTCACTTAAGCCAAATGCTGTATGTAAATTAGTAAAATGAAAGCTACCCACCTACCAACAAGCAGTGTGTGATGGAAAGGGACTAGCCAAGTGGCTAAGCAGAAGTGTTTTAAAAAAAAAAAAAATAAAAAAAAAAAATAAAAAGAGCATGAGTGATTTTCAAGGTTCTTGGCCATAGAGAGCTCATGTGGCCAAGATTAGCAATTTGTTTTACATAGCCAAACACTAATTAAAACAGTCAACTACAGTATATTTTTTAAAATAAAAATCTGAAAAATATATCAGCTTTAACTTTATTATCATCTTTAATTTCCAGATAGTTCAATCTGATGTGTGCCACTAAGATACTCTAATTAGAGAGCAGTAGTGAAACTTCGATATTGTAGATAGGGCTGTACAGGTGCGAATTGAAGAGGAACACTGTACAAATGTTGGGATGGTAAAGAAAGGTATGGATAGAGGGGAAGTGTAACAATGAGCCATTGTTAATTGTATATTGGCCATAGTAGCAGCTAAACACAGGATCTGGTTTTCTACATTG